ATTAATGATTACTTTAACACAATAAACAAAATCCTCCAAAATGGCGTAGAATAATTAAAAGATAATTCCTTTAAAAAGCTAATAAAACCTCTGAAGAGGTTGCAATGTGCTAATTTTACAGATGAGAAAACAGATTTAGACAACTTTGTTGTGACTGAAAAAAAAAAAGGTATTTTAGTATCCTTTGCTAAAGTCTTTTCTTCTTGTAGAGCAATACATAATATAATAGCCATGGCAGGCTGGCTTCACGGCTGTGCTACCTGCTAAGTCACTCAGGGAGGGTCCCTACCTTAGAAGGTCCCCATACTGGATATGTTCTGAGCTCCAGATTCTTTTAATTCCAGTTGCTAAAACACATGGCTTTGTCCATTCTTGCTCTTTAATTTGCCTCAAATTTTTAGTTAGATAAGCATTATATTCTTGGGGGAGGAGGAAGAGAGGACACTGTTTTTATGGCCCATCTTCAGAGTTCCCAATGGCATAAATTAAATGTAATTTTATTAGAGGCATAAACAATAAAAACAAGAAATTTTACTGGTGAGAAAGATATACTTGAACAGGGGAAGTTAACTGCTTACCAATATCAATCTTAACTTAAGAATCAATGAAAAATATTAACCCTCTTCTTAGGAAAAGTCAGTGTATCAAAGAAATTGAAAGCAAAATAAAAATATTTTATATTCAAAATGCATTAGTAGATAAAAATGAGACATGATCACCCATCATTGATGAGACACATTTAAGGTAATGTAACTTTTAAAAACTTATCAGGTACAAATTATTCTTCTACATAATTTGCTTTCTTTCCTTTTAAAAATCACTGTATATTAACAGACAGAAATATGGATGCTTATTATTTTTGACTTCTAGTTCAAAATAAAAAAATTGTGCATAAAAAAAAGAAGGTCTCCATACTTGGATTAATGCTCTGCTATCATTGTCTTTAAATTCTTATGAAGTTTTGACCAAGGGGCTCTGCATTTTTAGTTTGCACTGGTTCCCACAAATTATGTAGTCCTATAGCTATGCCAATGTTGTCTCCTAGTATTGCATTATTTCTCCTAAAAGACTGAAAGTTTCCAGGGAGCTTTACTTTTTTAGGGTTTCTCATGCCATTCCCAAAGATGCCTCTCACACTTGAGGCCATAAGTCCCCACAGAGGGCTGAGACTTTGGTGCCTTCATCTTTCCATCTATGTGCCTAGCTCAGAGCTTGATACAGAGCAGGTACCAAATGAATGTGTGAGTAAATGAATACCAGATTATCAATACATACCTGTTGACTTATTTAATTAACAAAACAGTCAAACTTTTAGTAGTTTTAGATTTGCAGTGAAAGGTGACTAGGTGGGTTGGGAGAGACTCAAAGTAAAATATTAAAGGAAAAATCTTTCTTGAAAAGAATAAATAGAACTGGATTGATGGAAAGTTTAAAGCAAATAAAGTTGAAAGACAGGTTGAACACCAAGTTGAATAAGAAGGGGTGAGTGGTTAAAAAACAGTGAGATATCTCTCAACAAATTACATCCTAGGGTGGAGTCTTTCCTCTCAAATTCAATTTATTAAACATCAGATTCATTCTGTAAGTTGTAACACAGGAAATGAAAATTGTTGTCCAAGTTTTGAGAAAGGAGAGCATATAAGGTATGCATTCAGGAGGAGCCAAAGGATTATTGATTATTCTTTGACTATTCTAAGAGTTCTTGACCTACTGTTTTGTATTAATAAACAGAGTAATATGAATATAAAATCTGAATGAAGAAGTGAATTTTTAAACTCTTTTTTCTGCCTATTGGCAGAATAAACAGAACTTATGTTCTGGTCCCAGTTACCACAGCTCAGCTAAACACATTTTATTCTTTAAACCAAGATAGTTTTCTACTCTTATATTGGCTTGGGAAAACATAATTCTAACATTCATTTTTGTAAAATAAAGTAACAAAAAACTAACACTCCTTTCTCTGGAGTCTTTAATATTGTGTTTGATCATCTCTCAAATTCCTTGGGAGTTATCAGTTCTTTACAAATCGTGTACTCTCCCATGTTACCTCTTGATGATCAATGTCTTGTGCCCTGGATAACATAATACAGTTCTATCTATCTGTAAAGAGTTTCCCTATAGCATTGTTTAGTCTTACTTTCTGTTTTGTTGCTATACCACACTTGAATAAGTGACTTAAATTGTGTACAGATGTCCAGGTGTGGCTTTAACTTCCTTTTGTATTTCAGCAGAATAATTTATTTTAACACATTCATTACTTCTATTATGGCTCTCCAAATTACTTGTGGTGCTGCAATAATGCTGGTTCACTGAATATTAAATATGTGAAAGCAAGTGATTTTATGCTTCAGATGATTATTTATGGGAAAATTCAATTTTTGGAGGATGATAAAAATAGTAGAAAAGAGGCGAATAAAAGAACTGACATTTACAAGCAAAATGAAGCAACAGTGGAAACAAGCATTTGGGGGAAATATAGCTTTAGAGTAGTTACGAACACTCAGATTCTAAGCAGGCAATGACAAGGTCTTAGGGCTACACACCTGAGCTCCAATTTGACGTCCTTATGAGGCCTGGAGAAAAATTTTAGGACTTGGTAAGATGCTGAGCAAAGTGAACTGCTGAGATAATCCAATGATGGCATTCCATAGGAAGATGTATGATGGAATTGTCTTTGCTGTTCCCATTTTTATGTGACACATACTTGAATAAATGCACTTTAAGGATTCTGCTGCTGGAATTGTAGCCATCATTAGAAAAACTCTATTTAAAATGTCCTGTGTCCTGTACTATTAGAATTCCCCAAGTTTACAAATCAATGAATGGGAATGGGAGAAAGAATGGCAGGGTAAAACTATTTTGAGTTTTATTTCACAAGCCAACCTGGAAAACAGCAATAGTCAAATATCCAAGTTCCTTCAATTTTCAGGAGCTGTTAACAAAAATAGTAAAAATAAAAAAATAGAGGAACCAAAACCCCTAGTTAAGTTTTTAAATCTGTTTAAGACCAACCAGGCAGAAGAGGCAAGCTATTTTTACTAATTTGAGGTAAGTAAAGCAACTATATAATAGAACATTGGTGACCTGACCAAACTCACTTTGAATGAAAGCTTAAGTTGAATGTTGCATGAATATTCAGACAATAGCAACCTGTTTGAAATTTCTTTTGAGTGTAATTTCAACATTTATGCATTTTATTTTCTCCTAGACATAAAGCCAAAGGCTAAAAGAGCAGAACACAAAAAAGTTGAACCTGAATTATGTTCTAAACCCTGTTGAGTTTAATTTTACTTACAAAGCAGAATGTTGGTTTAAATTTGCCCCTCACAACCCTGTAAAGACACCTAGTTTCTTGTTATCAACCTCTAAATTGTGTTATTCATTTGGAAAGCTTCAATTTTAGGAGCATCATTCTAAATTACTAGGCAAGTGCTACACAATAAATACACATAATCTAAAACAGACCACAGCAAGAGAAGAAAGCAATTTTCCATAAATTTGACTGCAATATGGAGCTTGCAATTCCATGAGCCTTATAACTTCAAAAGACATAAAGGAAAAATTTAAATGAAATATCATGAGAGGACGAGCACTTTAAAAGGTTGATGTTTTGTAAAAGGGTGATACAGATACACATTCTTGATATAAATTTGGAGAAAAGTTCAAATAACCTTTTGAACAGGAACACACCAAAAAAAATGACAAAGTGCCACTCACTCAGATACACACTTGTTTCAAAACAATATTTTACTTGGATCAATGATGGATGCACTACCAAAAATCAATAAACCTTTCATAATACATACAACTAAAACAAAGAGATGATGAAGCTTACTATATGCCTTATGTTTCCTACTCAAGATTTTTATAATATTAATGAATTCTTAAAAGTCATGATTGGAAAACACTTCAAGTAGATAAAAGACAAGTAAATCTAAAATATAAGTTTTTGCTATGGATTGTGAATTTTTATTTGCAGAGATCATGCAAAGAGTCTTAGCATACAATACTCACATCACTCAAAATGTAATTGTTTAAAATCAAAAAAGGAGAGGCACTAGGTGAGATTCTGTTAGTGTTCTACTTGTCTTGAACTTAGTTTCATGGTGTATTCATATTTGATTTTTCATTGAGGTATACACCTGTACACAAATAATTTGTGGAATTTTCTGTAGGTATATTGTATCTCAAACTAAAAGACAGAAGAGAAAAGAAGGAAGAGAGAGAGAGAAGAAGGGGGAAGGAAGAAGGGAAGGAAGAAAGGAAGGAAGGAAGGAAGGAAGGGAGGGAGGAAGGGAGGAAGGGAGGAAGGGAGGAAGGGAGGAGATAGAAAGAATATGCATGCTAGGAGCTGCATTTCCCACACTGTGGAATAATGTGCTAAAAGAAATTAGCGCTGTAGTCATTTACTTAATTCAAATAAGATGTAACTTTATAGGGTTGCAGAATTCGGCAGCCCAGTTCATAGTGGAAACCACTTAACTGTCATTTATGCACAGACTCTGTTTGACATTTTCAGACTTAAAAAACCCCTGTCACTGAACAGTGGCAAATGCCACCATATTAAGTATTCAGTTTTCCTGTTTTGGGAAGCAGAATTTAGAAGTTAGTGGAGGAAAAAAAAAATGCCTAAGGGTTCTACTAGCTTTGCATTTGTAAAACACATCTACACACAAACAAATTTTATCTCTTAGTCCAAGTATCTGTGGCTCCACTGTTTAAAATTTCTGTTTGGCATTAAGTTGGTGAAACACTAAGTGACCCCTTACTACTAAAGGTGTTTTAGACCCTGAAGTTGGATCTATAGGTTTTGTCTGTTACTAAGAAGCAGTTTTCCATGTGATCTTTTCAAAGGCAAAAGGTTAAGCAAAAATGACATATATTGTAAAATTGAAAGTAAAATGCACAGTACTAATGTGCTCAAAGTCCATGCATTTAAATTCCTTTGTATGATAATTTATGGTGATCATGTCTTCAGACTGCACTATTAGCATACTCACCCCTAACCAGAAGTTCTGCCTCATCTGACACACTGTCTGCTGTGGTCTGTACCCTGCAGCCATATCTCCCAGCATGCATCAGAAGGATGTTCCTGATCATTAAATCTGCAGAGGATGCTTGCTGAAAGAGGGATGAAGTGCCAGTTTAAAATGTTGCAAATCTGCCTAGTTCAAGATGGTTTAAGGGGAATTTTGTACATTCAGTTATAGGGCCCATTTTTGTCCTTACAATTTATATGACAACAATACAGAAATCAAACAAGCCCTATTTTAAGGAACACATGGAAGTTATGTTTTCAACGATTGCTAATAAAGAGTTTGAACATTAAATATTTCATATCATGATTTAGCAGCTACAATATTTAAGAAATATTTAAATATGCATAAACATTCATATATTTAAAGTATAGGAAAAATAATCAGTGAGCCAAAATTATCATTTTGACATTCAGAGACAGGCCTATATTGTGGCAAGACAATAGTTTTGAAAGGAATAGCAACGTGTGGAAATTAATTATGAGAAGATAGCAGTCAAAAGATTATCTTGTGCAGCTTTATTGAATGATTGTTTTTGTAAGTACACCGTAGGCAACAGAGTGAGGGTGCTTAGGTGAAAGACTGCTGGTCCCAAAGCCATGTGTCTTTACATAACGAAGATTTATTCCTCCCATAACCATCACCATCAGGGAGTAGAGTCAGCCTGTATTTCTGCTTATCAGTGTAGTTATGAAACACAAAGGAGTTTCGAAACACTTGATTCTTGTTGGGAGCATGATGATTAGAACATAGTTGAACAACTGCAGTTAAGGACATAAATAGGTATCTTTTAGATGAATCAGTTCATGGGATTAGTGATGATCCTACACATTAGAATGACAGGTACAGACTTTCATTACTTAATCTTGGCTTTCATTTACCCTATCAGGAAAGACAGATTTGTGTGTGTGGGGGTGGGTGGGTGAGTGTGCCGGTGTGTGTGAACATCCAAAGATCTGGAATTCACAACTCATAAGGTATTTTTTCAGATAACAACATAGCAAAACTCCAATACACTCTTCAGTTTTCATGTTGCAATCAAAAACAATTGGCTGAAATGAGTGTAGATACATATAGCTTGAAATGATATATTCAAAGAACTCAACAGTTCTCTTTAACAGTAGTTGAGTATATGAAAGGATGTTTAATGCAAGCCAAAGAGAAGCACTTCAGATTAGAGATCTTTTATTTTTTGATGGAATAGGTGAATTACCTTTAAAAAAAAGTGTATTTGTCCTTAGAGGGCAGTATCCCAATAATTATTTGAGTTTAGTTGCTTGCCTTTATTTTGATATAGACCAATGGGTTTTATAAAAACCATAAAAGCAAGAAGAATTTCTAGAAATTCTTTGGATTCTTTTTTCTTTCCTTAACGTTCATTGAAAGTGTGTGAAGTCATTGGAAGTTTTTACCTGTAAAATTATGTGTATTTATTTAAATGAAATGCTTAACTGTATACTATGTTTTAAAACACTTCTTTCTGGTATTTCATTTCTGTTTTTTTTTCCCCCTTTCTATTGGTCTTATGATAGGAATTTCTAAAGGTATTGAAGTTTTCTCTCATGAAATAATTGTTAAGTCATAGTCTGATTTAGTCATTTACAAGGGATTGCTTCATGGTAAGAGTGCATTAAAATGTCATAACAATTATTTCAAAGAATGTGATATTTGTCCAGAGAATGTCCTATGCTGTTAATTTCCTGAGGATAAATTGGTACTCTTAAATTTCATTTTCTTATCTATACTGGCCTGTTTACTTCTTTCAAATCTGAAAAGGAAATTTATACTTTAAAACTCTTTGATTTAATATGGGTAAACAAAAGCAAATTATAAACATTATAAGTTATAATTCAGTTTCAAATCAACATAATTTAATACTTATAAATAAGTTTTGATATTTTTATCACTTTATATAGTATGGGTCCATCTTAGGTACAAAAATTTCTTTTTCCCCTTGGATTTCAAAGAAGCTCTCCTAATAGGGTACTCAAATTAATCAGGAATCAATATGCACACTCTGAACCCAGAATGGGGCCTATGTCTAATGGAAAAGCCAAGGATAGGTCCAGAAAATCATAAAGGGATTTTATTACTTCCAGAAATATGCTTCTGGAACACTATGCTTGTTATTTTTTGTTTTGTTGTTTTTTTATTTGCTTGTCTATTTTCTAGTATCACAAACTGATTGGTGGTAGTTTAACAGTGGAAAAAGTAATGACTAAAAGTCATTTTTCAGCCTCACATTTTTGAAAAATTATTTTATAAAATTGCATTCTTGTGATTAAATAATTGATTGTCTATTTTCCAGAACCTTTTCTTCCCAAATTATTGATTTCTTTTTGTCCTGGATAAAAGTCCTCAAACCTTTGTCCTTTCTGTTGAATTATAGTAAAAGAAAAACTTAATGAGATTAAGATGAGTCTTCACTAAAAATTACATAAAGATTAGAGGAATTCAGGAGGGTGAGGTATAGATTATCTTTCCTATGTTGTCCTTTACTTGGTTCCTGCAATTAATAGTATGCAATACTTTATTATACTGGCTGAAGCTCCATCAACATCTATCAGGAATAAAAAGTCTATTATTGTATTTCTATCAATGTCAAGACTATTTGAGGAGTTGAAATAGTCTCATTTTGGGCTCATTCCTTCTCTTTTGGATTATACCTACATTATATTTTTACAGTTCTAAACAGGGAAGATTAAAAGTAAAATGAATGGATTGTGAACACTAAACCTAAATTACCCATTCAGTAGATTTACTGATCTTTCAAGAGAAGTAATGAGAAGAATTCATGGGGGATCCCATTATACTTAATCTCAGTCCACAGTATGCAGTTCCTGAGAGAACCTCCACAATTTAGTGCACTTTTAATGAAATGGTTACTTACAGCAGATGCTTGCTTTCTTAAGCTTAAACCTCATTTTCACTTTTTCTCTCTTAGGAGTTATTCTCTCTTTTCTTGTTCTGTTTGACACTTACTTTATATCCTGTCTTTTCTTTGCTGCTTTTTCTGGCTTTATGAATAAACTGTGTTACATGTTGTTTCAAATGAACTTCCCCACAACCAGTACTTAACATAATGCTCCAAGCATTGTGCACCTAGCATTGTGCATGCCACATAGCGGGAGCTCAATAAATATTTGTTGAATGGCTGAATAAATGAAGACTCTTTAAGAAAGAGGCTGTTACACTTGTTTTGGGCATAGCATAATGCATAGACTAGTCAAATTGCTATAGTGTACACCTGAAACTAAGGCAACACTGTATATCAACTATAATAAAAAAAGAACAAAGAAAGAGGCTGTATGTTTACTCTCTGTGAGAGCAGCAACATGGCTAAATCATTTACATTTCTTGGTCACATAGTCTCACTAGAGCAGTTGCTCGATTATTGTAATTTTTATTTATGGCTTTGAAATAATACAGGAACTGTCATCCCTCCACTCAAATCCAAATCTTTATTGGCTTTCACTTTGACTAAATGTCCTCATCCCACATAAGACTGCTAGTTAAGACTTCCTAAAAATGGAAGCACATATAACTTTGCTGTTCAAAGTGTGTGCTGTCTCCTATTACCTTGTGGATTAAGTCCAATCTCCTCACTTCAACACAGAAGGCTCCTCAGAACATGATGCCACCTCCTATGACAGAGTCCTGTGCTTCTACAGCTTTACTCTCACCTTTCCTCATCCATGGGACTACTTCCCATAATTCTGCCTGTTGTTCTGTTGCAGATGATCTTTCTCCTTTCTTTGCTTGAGAAGATACTTTTAGACAGCTCAAAGGCCTTCTCTTTGGTAAAGTCTTTCTGGACTTTCTGGGCTAGACTTCATTTGTTCTGACACTGTTTAATTATGCTCGTGTCTCTGAACTAGCACTTGATGTTTTTGGAAGTCACCCCCAAGGTCTACTATGGACAGTCCCAGAGCTGAGCTTGGTGCTAATGCAGCCAATGATCACTGGGTGAGCTGATGAGTGCATGAAATGACTTGTTTCCTTCCTTCTCTGTGCCTAACATACCTCCTCATTCCCCTCATTTTTTTCTTTCAAAAAAGTTAGGATGGGAAATAAGAACAGATCATGGAAAAAGTGGAAAAAAGGTCCTTAAAGAGTATATACAGGTTTCAGGAAGACACAATTCTTGCTCTACCACTTATTAAATTTTTAACTTGGGAAAATTAGTCTATCATGCAAAACTTCTCTCACAGCTGCAATGTGATAATGCAAGTAAAGTCCATAATAATGTCCGGTACATAGTGAATGTTTGATAAATGCTATCTGTTAAAGGGCACTATAATCACACTCTTAGCCAAGACAAATCTTTCTTTAATTGGTGTTCACTCCTTTGACAAATGTCTATCAATGTTTTCCATAGATATAGTAGGTTTTCTGATAAGTGCTTAGTTTTATTATATATATATATATCCACTCTTACTCTCCTATAAGGAAACTACTGCACTCAGAATAAGAAGACCTGAATTTTAGCCTTAGTTTAGTGACTTCCTAGCCCTGCAACTCTGGGAAAGTCACTTTATTGGGATAATAACTGCACTATCTCTTTCATGAGGGAAATCAAGTGAAACAAAGTACATACATACATGAACTACTGGGAAATTCTTCAAAAGTGTAAAATATTCTTAAAGCTTTTTTTTTTAAAAGCAGGATTTAGCAGAATGCTGTGCACATACTAAGCACTCTGAGAATGTTTGTGCGGAATGAATCATCCAAACAACAAGATAGCTTAAATTGAGTATTCTTGTAAATAGGACTCATGCTGAATGACTCAGTGAGAAGCCTGCTGGGGATGGCTGTTTCTGTGCCCTCATTTAGGGTTTATTTAACTTTCTCAAGAAGCTCACATAGGGCATTTCCAGCATCCCTAGCCCCTAACAGACATACAAAGCATTCTTCTCTACAAAGCAAAAGTAACATAGCATATAAATTCTGTGAGGCGTGATTTTAAAAATTTTTTCTAACATAAAAAAACTAGGTATCAGCTATGAGACATGGATTATTAGATATGATTAATATTATTGACATAAACTCTTGAATACTTAAAAGATTTCCCTGGTACAGTATTTT